AAAAAAAAACTGCCTCAATTTAGTATATTTACGACTTTTGAGGGCAAGCAAAAGTAATAGTGAGAGAACCATGCAAAAGACTGTCCATGCTTGACTGCTCTTAAATTTTGCAGTGGATCCTTGTGCGAAGTTCATGGAGTGTAAAATTCTTACTGGTTCTTAAGGACAGCACCTAAAAAGAAACGCTGTTGCAAGGCAAAAAGGGTAGGGTAAGAACGATCTTAGTCAACAGCTCAGCAAATTATTTTTGATCGAAAAGACCTTAAATAATGTTTCCAACAGTGCAGCTTGAAACACTGCAATTTTTGAGAGAGCGATGAGTTTTATTTTTTATAGTTTCACATAAGTTCCCTTACTTTTCTTTTACAATTCAACCATCTCGAAAAAAAATTCTTGATTCAATACCTCCGCAAGCCTCAAATTGTATTGCGATCGGGAACTCACCTCGTTGAACCAAATCGAGATTGCGTCCGAATAATTGCTGTACGGAGCCGCCCAAATATTTTCGCCAACGTTCACCCTTCCCTTAGAATGTCTGAAGTCGCAAGTGTTCGCATGTCGTTGGGCACTTGCAGCCAATTCTTCCGACCAGTACAGCATGTTCATATCGGAAGCAGGTACCTAAACAATCAGATAGACTATGAAATAAAATTAAATATCATTGAGTACATTTAAAAATTGTATTCTTACCATTCTCCGATAGCGATTGTGCTCATAAGTGATCCATTTCTTTAGGTAATCGTTCGGAGGGTCAGGACTAATTAGGAGGCTATTACTGTGATACTGAATCTGTGGAAAGAAGTAACCGCGCTTCTCACGACGTGCTTCACTTTTGTCTTCGGTTATTGTCTCTGTAGATGATGAAGGGCCTAAAAGTTCGCTCCTAAGGCTGATTTCTGCTCAAAGTCTTCATAACACATGAGCAGATGATGCAAGACGTACCAGAGTGAGAAACCCGTGCAGTGTTCATGATTGCGACGTTGTACGCGATGATGCCCGGAATCAAGAGAAGCCATGAAGGAAACATCTCTAGAAGTGATCGCATTAGTCACGCTATACATATGTGAATATCGCTAGCGCGGAGAATAAACATGGAAAGGATAAAAGTGATAATGCAATAGTAAGCCGCCAAATAAACGTTAACAAAGATAAATTCAGCATGAAATTTGAGTGTGTCAAGGCTTTGTAAAATGTCACCACAGATGATTTTCGACAAAATAAATATAAAGGATCTCGGATTCTTTCTCTCTTGCAAACTTTATAATGGTGATTGCCAAGCTTCTGTTAGATAGGATTTCATATTCCTTCCTTTTCTCTCGGGAATTCTTTGTCCATAATAAGAAACAGCCAGTTTCACTTTTCTTTTTCCATCTGTTCGCGTTATGAGCTGATTCAATACAGGTGATGGATAAAGTGGTGAGATGGTTTATGTGAGGGCCGTCAAAGGGCATTTATAACATTTCAATGATCAAGTGGGATGTTGACCTTCACGGATTTTGAAAGAGTATCAGTTGACCTAAAAAAGTTCTAGAAAACTAGTGGAAGTTTAGCCTGCATTTTATGATTTTGAAATAGGTTTTGAAAAAATTTTCTACTCGATTTAACTATTGATAAAATATTTTAAAGTTCACATTTAATCCAGCAAAACAGACTTGCAAAGAGGATAGTGCTGAAGCTTTATGGTTAATTCATTTACAAAGCTATAAATTAGCAACTTAGGATAAGATATAGAGCCTGCTGCTGCATCGCTCTTTGACTGCGAAGGATGATACAGTCAAAATCTAAAAATCTGATATCCCATTGAGGAGATTCCAAAACAGAGAGAGATAGTGCTAATGGCGGAGGGAAACCTATTCCATAGCCAGTGGAGGGGAAGTGGCGAACTCTTAAGGCATCAGTTCTGTCCCTTTTTTAGGTATAAAGACAACGACTGCAATGCTCTCCTTAGCTACGAATCTCAAGGAGGACAAAATTCTAACAATCCAAGGAAGTTTTCTAAAGGTAAAAGAAAGAGGTGTAGGTTTAGGCAAATATGCATAAAGACGAAAGTTTGAGCCTAGTCTAAAGACAATAAAAGGGATAAGATGCTGCCTGTTTCGCTACGTAATGTGCGAAACTTACGGCTCCGCCCGCGCTCGGCGCTACGTCGTCGTTGTTGGGTTATACGACACAGTTGCGCCGGAAACGGTAGACATCCGGCCGATGGACAGAATCAGCACCGAGATTTATGAGTAAAATTCGCGCGCCATAGCTCAGTTGAGATGACGCAGCAGGCGGCGCTGAAGGTAGTCGTACCCACCACCTGCTCGTACTTGCACCTCTGCAGTTTCCAAAAAAAA